GGCGCCCATACCGGACGGGGTATGGGAACGGCCCGTTTCACCCTCATACCGGACGGGGTATTGAGGTTCATGGTTTTGGTGCCCATACCGGATGGGGTATGGGGACGGCTCTGGAATCATGTTATAAATGTTAAGGGTTCACGGGTAGCCGGACCCCTATGGATCCTCATGGATACTAGTAGGCTGGTAAATGAGGACAATGTGTTGTTTAATGATTGAAATACAAAGGCGTGGTAAGTATTATGTTATACAGTTCATATGATTTCATGATGGTGATAATGTTATTGCTTTCATATGTTGTTTTATGGATTTCACCGAGGTAAGTGGACAGCAAAGGATTTTATTATTGATAAACAAGTTTATTATAAATTATGGTCCATTGGTCTTTTTTGTGTTTTCTACCCACCTTTACCTCCGTGGCAGTGAGATAGTGTAATGTCTTTACTGGGCTGGTATAGCTCATTCCTTATTTAACTATTTCAGATCAGGAAGACATTGTTCCCGAGCCCGTTCCGCAGGAAGACGGCGAAAGGGACGCCTAAAGACTCCGTAGTTATATTTATAGTTCTTATTTTCGAGTATCTCTTTTAGTTAGTTTGTTCTTTTATATTGTGAGCACGTTTTTGGTTTTTGTGTAAGGGATGTTAATCAAAAATTTTATTACGCTTCCGCATTTGATATTTTTAATATACATATTTCATTCTAAATTTTCGGGGCCGTTACAAACATAATTGGAAATATCCATACATGAGAAGTTTTTTATTCGAGAACGAATCATTTTCGAGAAAAGAGGGGATGATGTGAGCGTGGATGACTTAGACTATTCAAGCAACCAACCAACCCAAGGAAAGAATAAGCCAATAAAGAGTCCAAAATTTTAAGAAAATTTGAAAGTAACATATGAAAAAATCTACCCCACTGATGAGAGATTTTTCTCACTCAAGAGAGATTTTTCTCTCAATGAAGAAAGTTTTCTTCTTCTCGATATCTTTTTCAAATGGTACAAAAGAAATCAAGATCAAAGAATTTCAAGAATCCATTAAGAAATAAGCAAAATCATATATTTTAAAGTTTTCTAACTAAAATCATATCTTTATATATAATGAAACCAATATTAACAACATTTATCACAAGATCATAAATGGATTCGTTTTCCTAAGAAATCAAGAGATCTTCTTTAAATTAAGAGATCTTCAAAATCTTCTTTAAATTAAAAGATCTTCAAGAGATCTTCTCAAATTTTAAATCCATATCATATTTAGTTCAAGAATTTTTCCATGGGCATCCACATCACAATAAAATTGGAAATGAATCTTTTTAAAACTCACGATTCTCATCAAATAAGGAGAGATTTTCACCAATTAAAAGGTTTCCACAAAAGGATAACATATTCTACTTTTGATTTGATTTTCTATATAATTTATTATAATTAATTTAAAAAATTTATTTTCTTAAATTTCACATGACTGTTTTATAAATAGGCATTAAATTCTTAATTGTAATCAATCAGGTTTTAAGAATAATAAAATTATAAAGTTTTTAGTTTGTCAATTTGTGAGGTGTTTTCAACTTTCTTATTGAATGAGCAATTGATATCTACTTATCAAAGCAATTTGTGGCGTTTTTATCTATCTATTTTATTGAACTTATTTTAACTTATCAAAATATTTTTACAATATTTTTATTAATTTATTTATCTTTATTACTTTTGTTCCAATCAATAAGTTGATTGTGGGTTAAGTAAGATGAATTTTTATTTAGTGATTAAGTTTTTGGTGCTAAATTTATATGAGTTAATTTTTTTATTATATTATTGATTTGGGTTCCGCATAAAAAATAATAATAGTTTTGACTACTAAGGTCATTTAATATTGTTTAATTATTTGACCATTGTAGAGTCCTAAATGATTACTATTAAAAATTGTTATAAAAGATTAACAGTTTACTACAAACAAGCATAACATCTTCTCAAGCCATACAGGTGTCTGGTTCTCTGTTGCCTCCTTCTACAGATGACTTCATCAACCCATCATCTTCTTCTTCTTTCTGAATCATTCCCTGCAATGCCATTTTCTTTGCCTGTTAACTTCATCGACAACTAACTCCTACCATCATCAATCATATGTGTGTATATATATATATGTCATGTTCATCAATCATATATATTATAAGGGAAATCAGGAATTTCTTTATCCGCTGTGAAGATAGTATGAATTGGTAACAAAAAGAAATAGTGGGGTAATGGTAATGGACGAAGATACAGCAATATATATATAGATATATAGATATATATATATATATATCTCGTACTCGTACACGCCCTGTTGTAGTTCCTAATTCACCGCAGTTATTAATTGGAAGAGAAATAAACGAAAGCAAAGGAAGGTTGTAGTGTTGTGGGGGTGAGAATTTAATATCCCAGCCTAGGTCTGGCCTGCCAAGCTGTGTGATATGGACAACTACCCACATTCCCATTAGCCTAGCTTCACCCACTCAACCTAACATTTCCCTTTTTATTTATCAACTTTGTTTTACTTTGTGTTATTTTTTCCTGACACATTTCCTAATTATATCTTTTTGAGAAATAAATATTTCATATTATCTGTTATTGAATTTTTTTATATATTTATTTTCATATCCTTTTTCTATTAATTGATAGTATATTTGCTTTTGTTCTTTGAAAATTTTCAAAGGTTTCAGTTTTCAGATTTTGATGCAATTTAAGTATACTACCAAATTAATAATTTCATGATTGGTATTTTTATTATTTTTTATAAAAATGTGAGTTCAAATCGAATTATATATTTTATATATGTTCTAACTAAAATATTAATTGTGTTATATTAATGTCTACATATTATTTAATTATTTAAATATATGAATTTTTATTTAAAAAATAAATTATCAAAGCTAAAAATTGATAGTTTTTTCCATTTAATCTTCAAACACAAATTGAGCCTTCATTTTAGTGAAGGAAAGATATGTTCCTCCATTTCCACTGGAATATAACTTTCACTTTTTTATCTAATCTTCAAACACAATTTCAATGCTGCTTGTATAAAACTTTTTCTCTACCTTGTGATACATGAGTATGAAATTAGTGTTTGATAATATAAATAAACAAGATTGCAGAGGTAATCAAGGTTGCAGAGGTGGAGAAGCTGCACCCTCCAAAGAAGACAAAGGGTACAATGGCTTATGTCTTTTGGAGGAGATAAAACTGTCCCTCCGCAGGGATGGTGTCCTACCACCTGCTGCAGACTGGTGGGGATGAGTTCTTCTCGAAAACAGACCATGAAACAATGAAGAGGCCGGCTTCGTGTATCGGAGCACTATGTAGAAGAGTATCCTGTAAGAAAATGAGAGCAGAACAAGGGCACCCAAGTCCGTCCATTTTGAATGATCCAGGGGTACCCCGAACACTGTCTGCAGTAGGATCTCTCCGTTCCGTTCCCGGTCTCCTGGCAGCAGTGGATCAAATTCCTGCCCTATCATGTCGTTTTTGAGCTGACCCTTCACATATATATTCAATATACCAAACATTCATATTCAATGTTCCATATAGATTGATTCCTAAATATCAGGGATTTTATATAGTATATATGCATGTGTTCATATATAAATATATATGTACCTGCACTGCCCATGATGCAAAACTGATATAGGACATTGGGTAGCGCCAGAAGATCTTTGGAATGTCATGTAAAGGTCTGCTGATTTCAGATGCCATCATCATCAGTACCTGCATATGCAGTTACTACTATAAGCAGATGAAGATCTATATCAACACGATTTGCTTAGGCTTCTCTTGGAACAAATTCAGAAATTGTCTGGAATTAATTTGCAGATCCACACTTCTAATGGAATTTGGCATACATTGTTTCAATTTCATGTGTATTTCTTTAAAATAAATGTGTATTTATCAATGAATTTCACAAAATTTTTATACTTATTCCAAACATAAACTTAATTTACACAAAAAGAAGGCTTTTGTACTTACTACTATACCGGTTCCAATTCCTATACCCATCAACAAATTTGGTACCAGTGAGGCAACAACCATCATGCAAGCCTCTATAACCGAAATGCAGCAGAAGAGATTGATACAGAAAAATCCGTAGTTTGAGAATCCTGGATGAAACTTCACCATGTAATATATAATTGTTCCGGACAACACGGATATCACCACCAAGAATGGGAATGATGACAAGAAATTAGACAGCACAAACACAAAATCTCCATAATGCCCACCAATCCTTTCCCTTTTGAACACCTGATCAATATGCATCAGAAAAATGACAGCAATTTTACTCCACTCCTGTAATTTGAACTCAAACTAATACTTGTTCTTGAGAATTTGATGATTACCTTCATTTCTTCAATGAAAAAGGGCAACCCTCCAACGGACAAACAAATCATGAAACCATATACAAAACCAACACACTTCCCTCTAGCCAAAATGGAACGTCCTTCATGCCCGATATCTAGATAGAGGACACCTACACTGACTGCTACAAGGACATAGAATATGATTCTCAGCCAATAGTATCCAATATCTCTATACATGTTTAGGAAAGACCTGAGTGTCAATGTGTTAAGCTGCTCCCACCAACTTGCATTGGGCCGCCTAGTTGATTCAATGCTGCAAAGCCCGACCTGTAATTATGTATCGGCATCTTGTTGTAAATTACATGAAAAACCCAGACAAAGATTTTATTATAAGACCTCAGGGTATCTACTTAGAAGATCCCAGAAGAAAATCTAGCTAACACTCAAAAGGGTCAATTTGTTGAAGTTGATTAATGAATCATACAGAGAGAGTGATATGATGAATCTTTCTTCTTGTCAAGCTACAATAATTAGAATTCTTGAATTTCTCAATGAGTGCTGCTCTAATCTCTGCAGTTTTCAGATGCATAAGAGAATCTGAGAATGTTTCAATTCCCTATAGCCAAAAACAAACGGTAAAATTTTATTAATTTCAAACTCTCAAAATCATACCATTGAAAAAATTTTCATATGTAACGAGTGCTTACCAAATTTCTCTGACACCGAATCAAAGCTTCCCTTATGATGTCAAAATCAAGACTAATGCACCGAAGGAAATGATCAGAAGGATTTCTTTTTCTCGGACAAGGAAACCCAGCATCAGCAAAGAACTATTTAAATCCCCAACAATATTAATCAGTACAAATTCCTCCAATTACTTTCAAACAAAATTAACCAAAACAAACCTTAACAGCAGATTTGGCTTCTCCAAAGTAGACAGTTTCTCCACTTGAAATCAGAAGCAAATCGTCGAACAGGTTGAAGACATCACTGCTAGGTTGGTGAATGGTGCAGACGACAATCCTACCATCATGTGCGATGTTTCTCAGAGCTTCAACAACGAAGAAGGCGGCGGCACTGTCGAGTCCAGTAGTGGGTTCATCGAGAAACAAAACTTGAGGGTGAGTTACAATCTCGAGACTGATGCTGAGTCTCTTCTTCTCTCCCCCACTCAGACCTCTCAAATGCCAATTCCCAATCTTGCTATCGGCACAATCATGGAGACCCATCTGCATAATCGTGTCATCAACCACCTGGTTTATCTCTTGTCTGCTCATTGTGGAAGGAAGTCTCAGACGAGCTGAGTAAGTGATGGTTTCTCTGACTGTCAAAGTTCCCAAGAAGATATCCTCTTGCGTCACGTAAGACTGAATACATCAATGGAGATTGGTGAATGCTGAGCTTCTATTTGTGTTTCTGTGTATGTGTATATATATCTATATATGTGTGTGTGTGTGTGTGTGTGTGTGTGTGTGTATACAGGATGGAGCTGAGACTCACAATATCTTTACAATCTTTGGCTCTTTTCTTGCCATTGATAAGAATATTTCCGGTCATTGTGACAGCAGGAGAAAGCCTCCCTGCACCAAGCACATGAAAAAGCTTGATTGGATCTTTTCATGCATGCAATTGAAATGGTTTTTTTACTCCAACTTTAAAATTATTCCATTTTTATTCAATTTTAAATAATTACGGAATAAAAAATTAATTATAATTTACATATTTTTAGCACTCTAAGTTCGTATCTGCCGTTCATTTTTTTCTTAAGAAGAGAATCATCCTCAGTTTTTCCTATTTTTATTCATTCCAAAAAATTAAAAAAATATATATAAAAAAAGATGTTACCTTGACTTTTGAGTTTCTACTTTCTGTATATGCAAAATATATAGAAATGAAAATGGGAGAGGAGAGAAAGGGTAAACCTTACATTACCTTCCATTAAAGCTACCCTCACCAAACTCTACCCACCCTGCCTTATGTACATATATACATAAATCACTTCTCTGTTCATTGGAATATTTTATATTCTTAACTTGTTAAATATAAGTATTTAATTAATTATATACATATATATATTTATATGTTAATAATAACACAATTTACTAATAACAATATATGAAAAGTATAGTTATATTCTAACTTATAAATTTTTATATTAAAATAAAAATCTATTTATTATTTTCTTAAAATATCTAATAATTTTTGTAAGATTAGCGTTGATCATGTTGAAGAACAATCACATTTTGAAATTGAAACTTTGTAAATCGAACAAGATATCAATTAAAAAATCTTACCAAATGATTTGAGAACAAATTCTTACATATCCAATAAAACTATACATGGGTATGTTCTTATAATGACCATTATGTATAAACTGAAGAAATAAGAGTAAGCCATGCATTCACTCGTGTTGTATAAGTTTACTTCAGAGAATATATACATATATATAATTTTGCAAGAGGCATACTGGGTAAGTCCTCATGATGCAAGAAAATGACTGAAGGAAACTGGCGCATTAAACGCACACATTTTCTTCATTAAAACTTCAACTATCAGCTCAGAATTACTTCATCCACACCAGAAAAATTCACCAGAAAAAAAAAAAAGAAGAGAGAGAGCCATGGAAACTGTGTCAGAGCCATAGCCAGCTGAGCGAGATTCCTGCAGGACCAGAAGTGACAAACCTCAGCCTATCACTTGCTCTCTCTCTCTCTCTCTTATCTGTTCTCTCTGAGTTTCTTATATATTATAACCACATATACATTTATATATATGTATACATATTGTATGAGTGAGTTATATCAATTCTATTCAGATGTTTAGTGTGGTTCCTTTTGTTTCTAAATTTAATTAACAAGGTCGTACGTAATTATATATTCTATTAATTATCATAAATATATATGGGGAGATATCATAAATATATCTCAAGATCTCTCTTGATTCAGAATGGATCTGTTAATACAGATAGGTATATATATATATATATGTAACAAAAGTTTAACGCGTCATCATCTTTTTTGACAAAGAAGAATTAGCATAACACCAGTCAAAATTGAAAAGATGATCAAGAAGAGATCAAGAAGGCTGGAAAAAGGTGCAACTACAAATATATGTATATATAATATTGTATAGATGCATGGATAGGAGAAGGAGAGAATATATACATATATAGATTGAGGTAGATAATTAAGCTAACCAGACAAGGAGTCGAGGAAGGTGGATTTTCCGGATCCAGAAGTACCCATGACGGCCATGATCCGACCCGCTTCTGCAAAACCACTGAGTCCACTAAGCAACCTTCTTGAGGAGGAGGCACGGTTTTTCCCTGCAACCGGTAGCACCACCGTTATGTCCTCCCAAACCAAACATAATCCGCTTTTCATCTCCATCTCCATCTCCGTCTTCATCTTCATCATGTTCATATAATCAATTTATGTCTCTTCCTCCTCCTTCATCGCTGTTAGCTATGACTACCTCCATTTCTCCCCTCATACATAAATACCCTTTTCTAACTCACCCATGATGAGATAGTGCCCTTTTTCATCTTCTATTATTATATAATATTATCATTATTTTATCATTTATATTCTACTGTATATATTTATATATATTAGGTACTATTCATTTCTTCTTTGGTACAGTATATACACAATGTAAATAGGTATATTCGCCCCTCATCTACCTATGAACTTAATTTACTGCATCTCTTACAATAATAATTTTCTTTTTCAATTACAATATTACTATGACTGTATATTATATATCTTTCAGAATAGATATATATCATGATAATAATTTAATTGTTTAGATTGGAAGAATTGGAATCCTCAAATTCACATATTGAAATAAATCAAATTATTTATATGAATTAACCTCAAGTTTTTTTTTATATAATTTTTCTCCATATACGCTATTATACATATAATATATATATATATATGGAGAGAGAGAGAGAGAGTTTCGTGTCACTATACATAGATGTGTCTGTTTTGTTTTCTTAATTGGGTCAATTAAATTGCGTTAGTGCCATATATGGATTACATATATCTAACTTATTTACATTATTTTCTGTTGGTTAATTTTTTTCCCTTGGGTGTTGGAAGTTTTATTTAATAAGTAAACAATTTAATTTGATCTTTTTGTGTATAAAGTATATAATTTTTATCGTGTGTCAAATGATTTATTTATTTTTGGTATTTTTTATTCCAACTTTATGATAATTAATTAATACTAAAAATGTTAATTTTTAGAAAAATAATTAAATTTAAATAAAATTATTAATTAAGTGATAATTATCGACAAGAATTAATTAGAGTTGATAAAGATGAAATTTTTCTATCTCAATTACCGGATATGTAAAATATACTTATGAGTTATGTTTGGTATATCGATTATCATGCAATTCATAAAAAAATTTGTGATTCAAATCATTTATCAACTCATTCTAATAGTTAGTTTAAACATACTCTAATTGTATTCTCTTTTCTAATTCTATTAGAATAATTATTAAATTTTGTTAAAGTTATTATGTAACTGTAATTACTGTGATTTGTTGGAGTCTCATTTATAAATGTTATAATGTTGGGATTTGATTTGTAAATATGAAAAGTTTTCTTTCTCTCTCTACATAAATATATAAACCCCTCATTAATAAGGTGTCTCGAATATTTATTTTTCTAATTTCCAATCACTAGTTCTCTCTCTCTCTCTCTCTCTCTCTTAGTTCCAAAAAGTTTTTCTTGCTCTTCATAAATTTGTTTATGATCAAGGGTGATCTTCTATTATTATTATTATTATTAATTTTATTTTTATTTTTATCATAATTTATTTTTAATTAATTAAAAATAGATTAATGCTTTTAATTAATTTACTAAAAATATGAGAGTATGTTAATTAATATATTATTTTTAAGATTTACTTATTTTTGTTTCTTTACTATTTTTGTAACCTCCTTAAAGCTATATAAGAAGATTTCATTTTAAGAATTAAACAAAAAAGAATGAAAATTATTTTATCTTCTTCAAAGATAAAGTTTCTCTCGATTTTTCATTAACATCTGTTAGAGAGTTGTCGAGTTCTATCACTCTCATACGAATCATATTGGTATCAGAGTATTTCTATAAAATTCGAGCTTAAAAATTGGTCTGAGATAATTTCTTTTACATTTATAAAATATATAAATAATTAAAAAAATTTATTTTAATTTAATTTTATTTAAATTATTGAAAAAAACAAAAAATGGACGAAATTGAAAATAATTTTGGAAAAAAATTTTGAATAAATGGGATGTTTTGAACGAAAACTTGAAAACATGGAGTAAAATCGTAAAAATAAAAAATTCGGCCACGTAGGACGGCTTAGTGCAGCCACAACAAACCAGAGCACGCTGCGTGGCAAAACACGCTGATGTCGGCACGCGGGAGGCCATGCGGGCGATCCGAGTATCAAAATTTAATTAAAAAAATTGAACCGAAATTTATCAATCAATATCATACTAGACCAATTTA